AAACACAAATACAATGTGAAAGATAAAAGGGATTATCATCAAATCACTGAGAGAGAGGATCAACAAAATCTCAAACCCTAGTAGAATAGTGGAAGACTCATGTGATTTATGTTCATAATAGAACTCGGTGGTTCAATTGGTTGAAGGAGATGCATCAGCCGAAATATGAAAACCCTTTGTTATATAAAGCAAGCAAGCTCTTACATAAGAGAAGTACATTGAGCCTTGATGGTCATCGTAATTCTTTAATGTAGTACATTGTAAGTTCTTCGATGGTGATGGGCATTTTACGACAGTTGTGATTATATATGAGATCCATATACAGTCCCATATACAGTAAGGGGTTGTTTGACAATTGCTGAATGGTTTGGTGCAGAATGATTAAGTGATCAGAATGGTTAAGAGGCTCTCATGATATAGTGCAAAATGAAATATAATTATTTGGTAATTGTGTACGATGAAATTAGGGCTCTTAATGGTTAAGGGAGATCCATGATACAAAATCATTCAGAGGGTTTTGGAACCATTAAGAGACAGACTTTTTTTTTGTCAAACAAGATTCACCTCTTAACGATTCAGATACTGTCTCTTAATGAAACTATTAAGAGGTAAACAAACAACCCCTAAATCATAAAACTAAGAACAAAAGCTGACAAAACATAAGGACGAGAAATGTAATTTATTCCTTAAACAATTTAATGAAGTTACATCAAAATTACTCAAATGGGTTTACAAAGTAATTAAAGAAGCATACGCCACTCCAAATCCATATGGATTGAGTGCAAATTTCTGTACATCAATCCATGATCCCCTAAAATAAACCAAAAGACCCCATACACATTAAGTTCTAGGGATATATAGGATTAAACTTTACTCTATTTAAAAAGTAGAGTAATTGTTTCGTAAATTCCAAAAAAAAAAAATATTAACTCAAAATATATAATATGCATCAAGAAAAAAAAACGTAATAATTTGATCGATCGGCTAACGTTGCCCCACAGCTTCTAATTGGGTAGACGTTAGCGAAAAAACCCATTTGGGTAGCGATCTTGTTCTTCTAGCGTTGTTGAGGATCTGATGACGACGGTTATGGTTATTTTTCTTCGAGTCGACAAATGATTTGACCCGTTGCATGGCTTGGGCTAGGGTTTCATCGGACATATTTGCAAAGCAAACCCTAAACCAACCCGGTTCACTACAATGGCAAGATGAACCGGGTGAGATGTTCAACCGGACCTCATACACCATCTTCTCCCACAGTTCCATTTCCCCTTCAAAACTCTTTGACTTCATGAGATCTCTCATATCCACCCAACAAAATAAACCGGCGTTGCTTTTCAGGCACCGGATTCCCGACTTCTGAAGCCCTTTCACGAGCGTTTCCTGCCGTTTCTTTAACCTCCGGCGATTCTCCGACAAATAGGATTTTGTAAATTTCCGATCAGACAGCATTTCCGACAGTAGATACTGAGTTTGCGACGAAATCAACCCAAAGCTCGACATTTTTGTTGCGGCGGCGACGATATCCTCGTTGCCGGAGTAAATCGCTCCGATTCGGAAACCCGGGAGGCCGAGATCTTTTGAGAGGCTGTAAACAATGTGAACTCGCTTCGAAACTTCGTTGTTGACGAGGTTTCTGTTCTTTAAAACCTCCATGATACTAACGAAGTTTGGTGAACCGAAAACGGTGCCGGAGTAAACTTCATCGCTGATGAGGTGGATGTTCTTGGTGGAGATGAAGTTGACGAGAAGATCGAGCTCATGCAAACTCAACGACGTGCCCAACGGATTCGAAGGATTTGTGATCAAAACACCCTTCACTTTGAGGTCTTGTTTTTGTGCTTGTTGGTAAGCATCTTCAAGTGCCGATCTGGTAATCCGGAAACCATTCGAACTTGAACACTGGATCGGAACTATTTCAGCTCCAGTTCTCCACTTGAGGTCTCTATCGAATCTAGATAACGTAAGAAACCAGATCAGGATCACAGATATATAGCATACAGTAATAATTTTACTGCCACGTTACTTGAGATTCAATTAAATAACGAAAAAAGTAATTAATGTGAAGGTACCCTGGATAATATGGCGTGGGAATGAGGAAAGCGTCGCCGGGGTTCGCGACGCAAAACATTAACGTTTCGTTGGCGGAGGTGGCGCCGGCGGTGAGGACAAGGTTTTTTGGATCAAAGGTAACAGTGTTGCCTCTTGTTTCTGACATGAATCGGACTAATGCCTGTAAATTTTCAAATTAGTTACTGATTAAATACATGATTAAGTTTTCTGAATCAAAAAGGGGATGAATGAATGAATGAAGTAGTTATGCTTACATTCTTGAAAGCAGGAAGGCCATGATAATCTTGGAAGAGAGCAAGTTCTTTAAAGATGGATTGATCATCTTTCTTGAACCCAGTTGCATCTGGGTTGTTTTTTATCCAAGATTCAAGAAGATCAAACGATAATTGGTTTTCAGCAAGACCCATCTGGATGATACCATTGGGATTGTCGATTTGATGGTAGGGATTCTTCTCGTATTCTTCCCATCCAAGAAAGTAGGAAGAATCCTGACCATGAGCATTGCTGGTAAGCTTTGCAGACAACATCGATCGAAAGATGAACGTGTTTGAGTTGTATAAACCTTCAAAATCTGCTATGGAAAACTGCAGAAAAATATGAAAACAAGTAGGAGATTTGGGTTTAAAGGTGTTAATGGAAGGAAGTGAGGAGGAAGACAATGGTGGTGGGTGTGGGTTGGAAGGTATATATAGATTTATAAAGGCCAAGTTGACAAATGAGTTTTACTTGAATTCCACTTCACTTGTTTGACTTGAGATTCTGATCTTGTACCGTCACTCTACGCTCTTTCCTGTGCACCCTCCTCAATCGTACGTGTATTGCACGTGATGTGGTTTCATCTTTTACTTATTAGTATTTTATATTGTACTTCCACTTTAATATTGTATCTTTTACTTCTTAGTTTAATTATTGTACTTCCACTTTCACACTTGTGTTGTCGTTAAATATTCTCCTATCTCAAAATAAATAATATTTTAAAAAAAATTCAGAAAATGATACGTAAGTTTAGAAAATACGTAATTATTATATTTTTGAAATAATTAAGTAATATTTTTATTTTTGATAATAATAGAGAGAAACTTTCTCTGTCTCATAATTAAATGTATAATAGAAATGAGTTTTACGTGAATTCCATTTCACTTGTTTGGTGGAGGATCATTAAATGGTCAGAATGATTAAGAGACTTTTATAATATAGTTTAAAATAAAATATGGTTATTTATTGATTGTCTATAATGAAATTAGGACGCTTAATAATTTAGGAGACCTAAAATCCAAAGGCATTCAAAAGGTTTTAGAATCATTAAGACTTAAGAGACAGAGTTTTTTTGTCAAATATGATTCACCTCTTAAAGATTCAGATGATGCATTTTAATAGAACTATTAACAAACAACTCCTTAAATTTTAGATAGAGGCATTAAAATTTTATTTTACTCTGCTTCAAAGTTCAAAGGATTGGTTAAATATTTGTTTAAAACTTATTTTAAATACAAACTAAATAATGTAAATAGATGTAAAATATTAATATGAGAATCTATTTTCTGTATATTATTTAATTGTTTAATGGGTAGAATTTCTATCTCTACTTTTGATATTTTATTTAAAAAAGAATTATAACATACCTGTTAAAAATGCTTTAAAACCTATCATCAAATTCTATTATTCAGATGTTCAGTTGTTATCATATCTATCTAAAATAAAACTAAAATTACTATATATTATAATCAAATAGAAAAAGATTCATTCGACAAGTGGTAAGTATTGATAAGTAAAAAATGATCTTACCCCTTTAATTGATCAGTATTTGCGGTTTTGACTATGAAACACCAGATAATTTCTCGTATAGGTATGCAGAAAATAGAGGGATAGTTTCGTAAGTTTTACAAGTAGACGGCAAACAGGTTCATATGTGAACCCGTGTGATTCACATATGAACCATATGTTCATATATGAATCGGTTAATTAGTTCATATGTAAAATTGTAAATCACACAAGTTTATATGTGAATCGGTTAAAATAGTTTATGTGTGGATTAAACGGGCTCACATATGAACTCGTTTCTCACATATTTATAGAAGTTATGAAACTACCTCCTTTATTATTTGTATAGCCGAAAATTATTGACCACTTAAAGCCGTAATTCTATATTGTATGAAAGAATGAGATCACTTCTTTACTTCTCAAAATAACTTATGGCTAATAAAATAATATCTGAATATCTGGAAAAAATCAACCTCTAAAGTATTAGCAATAAATAAGAATTTGATTATTTATGGATCAAAGGTATATCACAACATAATACCATGACACATATAACGTAACTTTTTCTTTTTCGAGAATATTTAAATTTTGTTTGACAGTTGTCATCAATATGTATCACGTAACTATACAAACTTGTCTTTGAGCAAATAACCTTACAAACCTTCACATCATAGAACTTTCAGAAGAAGCAAATCGGTATATTTCAGTCTAATCGAATCACGTTAAATCAGCTTAACCATCCAATTTGCATACGTGGTTTTATCTTTGAGTAGAATACTGAAATAAATTACAAAAGATACGAAGTTGATACATAGCAACTTGACCACCGTTCAAATACGGAATCATTTTGCGTCTTGATTTATAGAATACTGAATATGTATACCAACATTAAAAAAAACGAATATGTAAAATGACAGAAAGGTCATAAAATACAAAATGAGATTCTTTATAATATTTATAATTTTTAATTAATAGTTTGATGTCAAAATTCCACGACTGTTACAAGTTCTATAAAAAAATCATTTTTATCTGATTGAGATTGGCACAAGCTGGTCTAAAAAATTACAAATCAGTACATGGTTGGTATGATACAAACCCTTGTGAAGTTTTTATTTTGTTGTGCTGGTAATAATGTGGCGGGGAAAAATATGGAAAGTAAGGTTTTTGAAGGTTCTTTCATTGTGGATGATCTTATTAAAATAGCATGTGCATATGTGAACTCGTGTAATTCACATATGAACTATTTGTTCACATATGCATTTGTTTGTTCGCCTATGTGTAAAAGTTACGGAACTACCGCTATATTTTTCGTTTGACCAATCAAAACTGCAATTCTAGACCAATCTTGACCGTATGAAGGGTTATGATCACTTCTTTAGTTTTCAAATCTATAGACCTAATAAATAAGTAACTTGGGTGATATGTGTCATCTTCTGGTGAGTCGGTTATCTTATATTCCCGCCTAAACATGTATCTAGACACAATTTACATTAGTGGTTCAAAGAGACATATTTGGTTGACATCTGTCCATTTAAAAATGTATCTTTTTTATCGTGGTTTAACTGATTTCTCTACTAAACGGGATTTAGTTCAGACTAGAATCCTTCAGCTAATTTGACAGCTTTTTGCTGACAGCCTTCAGCTTGTGTTTTCAGCTTATTGTGACGGCTTTCAGCTCATCGTTGACAGCTTATCACTGACAGCTTTAAGCTAATCTGACATGTTATTGTTGACAGCCTTCAGTTTTCAGCTTATCGCTGACAGCCTTCAGGTAATCTGACAGATTATTGCTGACAGTCTTCAGCTAATCTGACAGGTTATTGCTGACAGTCTTCAGCTAATCTGACAGGTTATTGCTGACAGCCTTCAGCTTTCAGCTTATCACTGACAGCCTTCAGGTAATCTGACTAATTATTGTTGATAGCCTTCAGCTAATTTGACAGGTTATTGCTGACAGCCTTCAGCTAATTTGACAGGTTATTGCTGACAGCCTTCAGCTTTCAGCTTATCACTAACAGCCTTCAGGTAATCTGACAGATTATTGCTGACAGCCTTCAGCTAATCTATAAGCTGACAGCCTTCAGCTAATTTGACAAGTTATTGCTGATAGCATTCAGCTAATCTGACAGGTTATTGCTGACAGCCTTCAGCTTGTGTTTTCAACTTATCGTGACTGCTTTCAGCTTATCGTGACAGCTTTCAGCTATCACTGAGGAGGCAGCTTTCAGCTTATCGTTGACAGCTTTCAGCTATCACTTGCTGATGTTGTCAAGGAGTTCCGTAAGACAAGTTTTGTTGGTTAATATGCCGGCTATAAAAGGTTTTTTTTTTTGCCAAAAATATGTCTATATTTGTTCAAAATAACACATTTAATTTTATTATAGGGTTAACTTTATTTTAACTAATTATTGATATAGTTTCATTTCTAAATTCAAGTCTGAATAGTCATTTTTCAGAGTTATACTTCAGAGTTATTTAAAGAGTACAAGTCAGAAGTAGTATCGTACTTTCGATGATCATTCATATTTGTAAGATAAGTTCTTGACATGATTTAATTTTTTCAAATTACCCCGTGTAATACACGGAATCGAACCTAATATATATATATATATATATATATATATATATATATGGGCCTAATCAAATGAGAACTGATTAGTTTGTGGTAATTATGAGGTCCAATCTCAACCACAAATCAACGAATAAATTAGAAAATTAATAATTATGATAGTTTGAGTTAAAATTATAATTAGAGGGCATATTAGGTATTTTTAAAAAAATCCTCTCTCCTCTCTCATCTCTCCGACCTCTAATCTCCGGCTTCCGGTGAAATCGGTATCACAGTATATCACAATGGTTATCACATTGTGAATTACAATGGGTATCACATTGTGTATCTTTGTTTTTAAGGTTTGAGTTGGTATCATAGTTGGTATCACAGTATATCACAATGGGTATCACATTGTGTATCTTTGTGTTTACTTGGTACCTGTCGGATTAATGTTCACCGAAGGCCGGAGATTGGTAGTCGGAGAGATGAGAGAGGAGAAAGGAGTTTTTTTTAAATACATAAAAAGCCCTCTAATTATAATTTTAACTCAAACTACCATAATTATTAATTTTCTAATTTATCCGTTGATTTGTGGTAAAATTGGATATCACAGTTACCACAAACTAATCAGTTCTCCCTTGAATGTACCTCTCTCTATATATATATATATATATATATATATATATANNNTCTCTCTATATATATATATATATATATATATATATATATATATATATATATAATCCTTCAAAATTTAAAAAAAGTGCAAGTTTATGAGACATAATTTCCATAAATTACTGAAGTGAAGGTGGTTACATATTTGGAAAAGCAAAAAGTGAAAAAGCATGTTTGTGTACCCAAAAAGGGCAAGTAGGTAAAAAGGAACCATCGTCAGCAGAGTGATACTTATAATATGCTAATTAATCAACACCAAACAATCAACCCAAACCGCCGTTGGTATTTGCTACCTGATTACATTTAATGGAACTTGCTCATTTTTAAATGCCAATTTTACTCCATCTTCTCCTCCTTATACTTTATAACCAATTTAACTCAAAATTATGTAATTCACATTATTCAACTTTCCATTAAAATAATAAAAAATTGGGCATTATATAAGTATTACTTACATAATGTTCATATGAACATTACATAAGTAATACTCATGCAACTTGCGTAATGTCCATCTTTCTATTATTTGCCACATGGGCATTACGTAAGTGGCATTGCACAACTTGCGTAATGAACATTATTTTCCTTATTATTTTAATGGGAAAAGTGGATTACGCAAGTTGCATAATACTTTTTTGACTAAATCAGGTTGAAAGTTGACTATAAAGAGGATGAGAATAGTTAGTTCAGTCATTTTCTTTTTAAATCAATTGTGCTTGTAATCGATAATTATTCGTAGATAAAGTGATGTTGAAGTGACACCAAGACTCAAAGTTCCTTTTGTTGAATATCTACTTTAGATTTTAAGCATCTATGACAAATTCTTGAAAATTAGAGGGTTTTTTACTCCAATGATTCAAAAATTGCTTAGAAAAGAGAATTGATTATTTTTTCTTGTTATTTCCTTTGATTAGAATCCTTAAAATTAAAAATAAAATTAATATTTTATTATATATTTTAAATTTTTTAATAATATAATCAATATCATAATCTTTAAAATGAAAAATATGTTAGAGTTGGAATATAATCTTTTAATTTTTAATATTCTATATTTTAGGAAATTCTAAAAATATTTTTGATTTTTTTATTAACTTGGATATCTATTCAATCCGCTATACGAACCGACTAATTCCAGGGCAACCACCTGCTTTGCAGATAACCCGGAGTCACCGCATTTGAACCTCCATGGTCACAAGAAGATTTTTATTCCTCCTTGGATTTAAACCTGAAACCTTCTGATACTTTTAACCTTTGGAGTCAAGCTCAAAGCAATCAGGCATCACCCTTGTGGTTAATATTTTTGATTTTTAGTTTGAGGAGAGGATGAACATTGTAGCGTGGGTAGCCAACAGGTTTGTCCCTTGATGTCTTGTTTTACCCATAGTAATTGTTATGCATAATGCATGCCTATTTCAATCTAATGATGATTGTTAGGTGTTTGAAATTTAGGGTGAATCTGTTTGAAATCGATCGTTTTTATTTTACGTTTCGTTGAAATTAATATTTTAAGACACTTTTTGGCTTTACACTTTTAATCAATCTCAACTGTACGGAAAAGAGTAATAGAAATTCATAATTCGTTGGCGTATTTATTGGTCTTAGTGGATCAGTACATGATGGTTGAAAGGTGCAAGGGGTTGTCCTTTGAGGCGTTCGTTGATGGTTGTTGAAGAAGACAATACGATGATATATAAACATTCCAAATACGTTTAAGCAGAGTTTCATGAACATATTATCATACATATCATACTCTGAGGCTTAATCATGTGAAAACTTCAAATTTTGTAAAATCTATGAAAACTTTTACCTTAAGGTTTTGTTTCACATTATTACTTTTTCCATCTAAGTATATTATTTCATATGTTGATTAACGTATATTTATTTTAAATGTATTTGTTTCACATGTACTTGTTCACAAACACGACAAAAAAGTTCATATTGTGAATCGAGTACATGTGAAACAAATATTTGTTAATAACTACATTAAATTCTCGACTACTAAATAAGACAGTATTTAGTCCTAATCGAACCAAACACCAGAAAGATTCAATACAGTCAAATCATATCTGAATAGCAACACTACCTAAAAGATATATATCGAATATTTGGCTTAATGAAGTCCCATATTTATATTCTATCATCAACCATTTGTGGCTTAATGAATATAGAGTCCAAATGATTCTATCATAATATAATATAGCTTGATATCTGTCTTCAAATGAAAATAGGTGTACAACTATTGAATTGGGCCATCAAATTTTGATGAATTGGTGTAAAATAACAACATAAAGGGTGGTGATGGAATCAACATCTTCCTCAAAATTGAGCCAAGAACAACACATCTATATCTATATGCCAACCGGAGTCTTCTTCTCCGGCGGTGAAAATTGATTACGAATTGTCGGTATCTCGCCATCAATGGTACGAATTGAGGTGGAAAATTTGGCATTTTGGCTTGAACGAGCTCTTGGAAGCGGCCTGCTCAAACTTCTTTGCTGCTGCTTCGTTCTCCTCGAGGCTTGTTTGAACGAAAAACCTCGCCCACCAACTCGCGCTCCGCATTTTAGCCTTCACGAATGTGTCATTTAAATCATCATTTTTAACTCGTAAGGAAACAAACCAAACTGACCGAGTAAATCCCACTCGAAAGTAGGGTTCCGGGAGTTGGGATGTACGCAGACCTGACCCCTACCCCAAATGAGTAGAGCGGTTGTTTCTATAAAGACCCTTGGCATGTGCAAGATTGTGAGCAAATAGTTAGAAAGAATAAATGCGCAGTTGCTTACGGGGCGTCCAAATCTTGATGCTTGTTGGAGTTTCACTTTTGAATTACTAGGTTTACCTGAAAGGACACAATCATGCGGTTAGCACTATGACAAGATCGGTTTTAAAGGACGTCAAATATGTCTGATTGTTCTAATAGACTATATTACAAGACTTAAGTTCGAAGGACCAAACAATTATGCATCCTATATAAAGGTGTTGCAATAGAATATTATGACTTAATTGGACATCCTAACACGTTTTTAGGACAATATTGAAATAAAATTGTCCTACGAACACATCAATTCATAAAGCACTCTTTCAACTAATGTCATATAGTAATATGACGTTCTATTTCAAAATCGTCAAAAACTTGTTAAAACACCCAAAAGCGTCCGGCATCCTATTATAATTTGGCATATTAAAACATTTAGACATATTTGGTGTCCTATAAAGTCAATTTTGTTGTTGTGTATAGGTTGAAAACTAGGTAACGGAATTACGAATTCGACCTTGATTTACAGTTGCTATTTATAGTAAATTACCTGTGAATATAACAAGATTTTGAGCAGAAACTCTTGCCAAATCAGGAAGGGTTTTGTTGAGGTACTTTGGAGATAGATAATCGACCGAATCTGAAACTATGATCAAAGAGAACGATTTAGCCCTATATGGCAAAGGAAACTTGATGTCCGCAACACGTACTAGCCCCTTGTGCACGAGACTTCTGCAAGAGATATCAGCATCCTCAATATCATACGGTTCCACACCCCATGCTTCAGTGTTTGCTTCTTTGGTCAATCGAGAGACCACAGAGCAAGCATCGGGCCCAACGTGCAATACTCTATGCATGCTGTCACCATACGTTTTCTTTAAAATGGGTATTGCAGTATGAACATCAAATGTGCAGCCAAAGTTATCTGGAGATGTTCATAGAATTCGAGTTAGCCCCCAGCCAAAATCTTGTAAGAATGACGGGTTTTTAATCATATCTATTTATCGGCTTATGGGAACATCATTTTACTAAATTTTGTTCGATTTTTTGTTTATTGCAACGATTATCGTGTGTGATTATTGATGTTAGCAGGGGATCGTTCACCTTGAATCTTGCTAAATGCTTTATAGGATCCAGATTCACCTGCATTCCAAAAGCAAATGGTAAGCCAAATATAAGAAGAAATATACATTCCAAGAAGATCAAGAATTTGGGAAACAAGAATCTAGCCATGGCTCAATGAGCATGTATACGGATGAATAAGCGTTCATGAGCATTATCCAGATTAATACGAACCTGTACCCTTATAAACATAGCCAATCACAAGGACGGTTCCCTGTATTATTGAAAATATTGAATCAGATTCTGTGCAAGTTGGAGCATGTTGAAAGAACAACAGTAGACTACAACAAAATTGGCTTTATAAGATGTCAAATATGTCTAAATGTCCTAATAGACTACTATATAAGACAAAGTTTATAGGGCCAAACAATTGTACATCCTATGTAAAAGTGTTACAATAAGATTTAGAACGTATTTGGGCATCTTTTGGAATAAAATGTACTCTGAACACATCTTTTTATAAGACGCTTGTTTATACAAGAATTTTTCAAATGATAAAACATATAAAAAGACTATATGTCAGCTTTATTTCAATGTGAGAGCACAAACTTGTTAGTATGCCCAAAATCGTTATATCAACTTATTGTAAAACACATTTAAATAGGACGGACAATTGTTTGGCCCTATAAAGCAGTCTATTATGACATTTAGACATATTTATTATCATATAAAAGCCGATTTTGTTGTAGTGGTATGTGCTACAAACAAAATATAGAGATTAGGAGCTTACTAGTAAGACAAGCACGATGGATAAGAGAGGAGAAGGTCGTGATTTTGGATGAAAAATGCCCCCTAGTGGATTGTTTCCGCTACCCACAAAGCGCCTTGCGGGATTTCCTGGCCTTCTTGACATGGCTGTTTGTGTGAAGTATCAAAGCTAAAAAGAATCCACATTGTGCCAAAAAAGACAGCAAAAACGTAAGAAATGGTTGTCTAGCTCAATAACCTTCTATAAAACTGACTTTAAGAATGTAACCCTCTAGTCTATTTTTAAGTTTTTACGTGGGCAATTTGTGACCGTTTAACACTGCAGGCAGGCTGTTCAACACGAGGTCAAATGACAGTCATGCTTCTAATCGAAATTTGTTAGCACTTGCCCCCTTCACTACAAGGCCAAGCTAGTAAAAATCAAGCTTCTAATGCCAATTTCAATCAACCAGCAGATCGATGTATGTACACAACCCCATTAGAAGCTTTATGGTCATGTTTTCATTAAGTTGTATACTCCATCTTGCCCCAAAAATCCAGTTTTAAATTTGCAGATTCACACATAGAACTTTCAGATTCAAACTCGACAGTTTTTTGGTTTTATTATCCCCAAATGTTTCTGTTATCATATCATCCAATGTTGACATAAAGTAGTTAATTCTTGTCAATTTGAAGTTAAATACAAACTCATTTGACCATCAAAGGTCTAAATATTTTCATGTTCAACTGTTCAAGTTCATGTCTGTCCAAAGAACATGTAGGCCAGCATATATCTAAACTGTACATATCTAATGAGTTATGAATCAAGGATCAAATCCATAAAGAAACCATAGCTAGATAAATAAAAAGAATTTTACATCAACACATTCTCGCTAGAAAGCAAGTAATTACTACATTCACCTGATACAAGAAATGGCAGAAGTTCATATGATTGAATAAAGTCATAAGTAGGACTTTCCCCAAATGGAAAAAAAAAACAGAAGGCAATTAAACAAACACCTTAAGAGCATGTGTCAGATAGATTCAAGTCAAATCAAGATTCAAGATTTTCAAAAACCCATGAACAGAATTCAATCACAAGTCGAAAGAAATCACACAATCCCAGATTAATGCTGAAACCGAAAACGAACAAGAACAAATTTGGTATAAAAGAAAAACAAACTAGAAATGGGAAGTAAAGAAGTATAAAACACCAACCTTTGATCAATCTGTTAATGGGATAGATTCATCTTTTTCTTTTTCGGATCTATAAAAGCCTTGATCTCAGATCTGATCTGTTATAAGAGAAAAAGGAGGGGTGTGAGTGTGAATTGATGCGCCAAAAGTTCAGACGACAATGGGGGAGCTGGAAGAGACTTAAAAGAGATGGGCAAGTTGGGGAAATCTGATGGGTCGTGGGCCACGTCGGAAATGATTTTGGATCTTGGTTTCTGATGTCGGTAATGTAGGCCTGAATTTTCTTTATTCAATAATATGGTTGAATCGAGGGCAGAGCATCTTGATTGAGACCCAACATATAATGAAAATTAATCAATTTTGCACTATTCTTATTTTTTGGACCGACATGGATTTACGTTGGAAATAAAATCATGAATACCGTTCTTTTGTAAGAATGTTAACAAAATAGTACATATCATAATAACGATGTGCTCATTACTGTTATATAACCTCAGAGGGACGAACAGATTGATTCGGTTGGTACAGTTTTTCGGTTTAAAAGCGATATAGTTTGGAACTAAGTATTCTTTGATAAACAAATACAAATAATAATGTGGAAAGTTTGATAAATAAAAAGAGAAAGCAACATCACCCATAGTTTTTGTAACTTTACTTGAAAAAGTTCATGTCTAACAAGCTCAGACCAGATCTTACTTAAAGATTAAAAAAAACTCAACACAATCACGCTTGAAAAGGCCCAATCAGGTATTTTTATGATGCTAAGAAAAATTCAAGTTTTTGACCTGATTCGAAAAAGTTCGTCTAGGAAATCCAAGTCAGACCTTAAAGCTTAGGAAAGCACTGCTTGAAAAAAATCTGATCAAACCTATTTTTAAAATTTAAAGTCCATGTTAGGTTTGAAAAACACAAGTTTGTTTTACTAAAAACTGACTTAAAATGTCTGAATTTTGTCCATTTATACCTACTATAGAGGCGCTAATAGAAACGTGTTCTATGCCGGATATAAAAGTCATGGGCCACTTCAAAACGAGTCCCTACTGCGACCCTCCTTTTCATATGTGGAAGGAAGTGGTCCAGGTTTGGAGGTGATCCATCAAATTAAAATTTAGAGTAAATTATGTTTTTCGTTCCTATGGTTTGTTAATTTTTTTGATTTTCGTTCATATGATTTAGAAACTACGATTATCATTCCTATTATTTGTAATTCATTGATATTTTTGTCGTTATGATTTACAATCTATTGTTGTTTCGATCCCTGCAGTTTACAATCCATTACAGTTTTGATCCCTTGTACCTAAAAATATGAATTAGTTCAAAGATGAATATTGCAAGACATTGTAAGTTATAGAGACGAAAATCATATTTTCTAAATCGTATGGACGAAAACTGAAATTACTAACAAACCATATGGACCAAAATCGTAATTTACTCTTAAATCCAAAAAAGCTAAAAATCATAATTATTTTATTTGTAGATAGTTGGTTAGTTATGATAACACTATTGTTTTAGTTTGATTTTTATCCAAGGTTCTAAATGGTATGGAGTGTGACGTAATAACGAGGTAGTAAATTATATATATCATGTGTATAATTATACATACATATATATATATACATATATATATATGTGTGTGTGTGTGTGTGTGTGTATGTTTACTACTACTCAATGAGTCGATGGTATTAAACAATATAAATTAGGGTTTTATTCTAAAAACTAAAAAAAATAAGACGCTAAATATATAAGAAAACTCAGATATTGCGTTACGAAAACCACACATTGGCTCATGGCATGCCACATGCTTAACATGGCATGACACACGAGCATATTTATGAAATTGCAAGAACTTTACGGTTGTATGGTAAAGTTTATGAAATAAAAAACTTTATAAAATGCTAACGTGACATGACAGAAAGATGATTTAGCGGTTTTACAAAACTTTATAGTATCCATCATAGCAGTATCGTGGATGACCTTGGGTGGTTCATCAAATTGAATATGTTTACCATTCTCGAGCTGGCTATAAATACAGACCCACTAAGTAAATTATTTACTGTAGAACTTAAACATTGACAAAGCATCTGAACGGTTATTCCTCTGGCTTTTGCAAAAAGCTATATAGAACTCACTAAAATTGATAAATAACTTACAAGAATAACGATAATCAATGATGCAAGCGATTGATATTTAGTGATTATTTGGTGAGAATCTTTAAGCTCTGAATGAAGTTGTTTGACTTGAACTCTTAAAATTGTTGTATTAAAGTCGTGACAAAGCAATTAATTTAAACTAAACTAAACAAAACAAGATATCTGATGGACATAAAATAATTAATTCTTAAATTAAAGTCTGAAAAATATCTGCTTTTTAACTGTTTGAAGTATTGTGTTTCATAGAAGTACTCAATGCGTACATCTGTGAAGATCATGCAAAACGTCTTGAATTGTCGGCCATGTTTTTGCATTAAATATAACCTCTTACCAAACATTCAACATCTCTTTCGATTTAGAATGGCCCGAAAAATACAATGATGGTGTTTAAAGTAGATTTGACTTTTGTTGAATTTATGTTTTCAACAACTCAAAAAATCATTTTTTTTATAAAACTTATTCAAGTAAATATTGATATTATCACTAGTATTTAACGTCTGATATTTGATGATAAAGTAACTTGCAGAAGACTGACTCAAATTTGAACTTTCATTAGATTCCTTGCACCACACTTCTCGGAAAATAAGGTCATTGATATCCGCAGGTAGCATGCTTCTCGAGATGAATTTCGATCTTTGTACGTAGATTTGACATGATAATTCGCAGTTCAACAAAGTACACAATATATGTTAATTAAGTCTTATAAAATACAACGAAATTGTTAGAATACAATATACTTCCAGTTTATTTGTCAAAACTGCAGAATTTTCAAGTGTAATAAAAATAAGGAAATTTAAATTGATACAATCGCACCAAAAATTATTTACATTTTGAGTGATTATATTTTGGTCTATGTAACACTCCGAAATAGGAGAAAGTTGTAATAAGGATTTTAAGGAGCAATTTAAATTCTATGCAGTGAAAGTTCAAGTGGGTCATTAATCCAGCGATATTTGGATTACTGGTAAATTTCAACGTCTCGAAAGTTGTGTGGGGCTCTAAATCCCATTGGGTTATACAAATCAAAAGAAGAAATCTATTGTTTCTCTTTGATTTTCTCTAAACATTATAGCAAGAGGGCATAAGGTAAAGTAGTAACTTTTTTAGTAACGGATCAGTATTTGTTATATGTTTTCGATACATGCTATACATGCTATACATTTTTTTGGAAGAGGAGACATATGTGGTATTTACGTCAGCAGATATGCATGAAAATTGATTTTTGGTATGTGTAAGGTTTCACCAATCAGAATATTGACTACGTAGGTAGGAAGTGTGCTTATGAGGATCAGATCGGTAAGGGTTGGTTAGCTCCCACTCGAACCAAACAATGGCCGAAGAACCATACCATACAGGGATTAAAAGAGATCTTAAAACTAAAACGTTAAAAAGAACTTTCTTTATGCATGAAACCATGAAGTAATCAAAGTTTCATCGTCTCATTATCTCAAGAGCAGCAAAATTAGGAGCATAAAATGTGTCGACTTTAGTTGAATTCAGTCATGTTATGTTGCTTTAGTATTGGAATGTTTATTTCCGTTATTGTTTTTTGATAATGTCTTAGTTAGGTGTAGGATGAACTAGAATATGTTTAGCCATTAGGACTTTTGAATTTTAAGTTGCGTTCAAACAAGAAACGATACTTATTTAAGAGAATGGTCAAATCACGTGCAAAATCACATGTGATTTTACATTAACAGCCAAAAAAGTGTGCGAGTGACTCTATGACCGCATCTTCGGGTCGTAGGGCGAAGTCGTGTGAATCACATGTGATTTTGTACGTGATGTTAGCGTAAAATCTAATGTGATTCAACATTATTGTACTCTTAAATAGTTAACATTCTCGTTTTATCCTCCCTCTCTCTCTCTATATATACATATAGGGGTAGGTTCATTTATGAACGGAGAGACAGCTTATTTTATGAGTATTCACTATGAATATTATTTATATGAATGTTTGTTATAACATTGATCATGAATAGTACTAGAATATTTAATGTAACCTCCCTCTATATACATATATATACATATATACACACACACACACATATATATATACATATATAGAGAAGCGTTCAAATAAAAATCACTCAATTTGTACAAAACCGTGAAAACCACATTCAGTCAATCATAATTTTTTATTCTGTTCATTTTTTTATAATTATGAGGGGTTGATTAACCATTTTTATTGTGAAGGGTGTTAATCATGTATATTATCATCTTCGTTATTTTAATTTTAGAGAAATACATGAAACAGTTTCATTAAAATTTCATTAAATATTATATGAAACAATTTCATAACCATATATGATACAAATTCATCAAAAAAAAAAGTATTATATGAAACAATTTCACAAGATTAAACAATTTCATGAAAAAATTTCATAAGTACAAACAATAAAATCGACATATGAAAGTGGTTTGTACGGTTTGTACAAATGAGGGTGTTTTCATTTGATCGCTTTATATATATATATATATATATATATATATATATATATAGAGGAGTGATCATATGAAAACCGCCCTCATTTGTGTAAACCGTGCAAACCACCTTCATCTGTCGATTTCATTGTTTAATCTTATGAAATTTTTTCATGAAATTGTTTAATCTTGTGAAATTGTTTCATATTGTGAAATTGTTTCATATAATACTTAATGAAACTGTTTCATGTATTTCTCTAACATTAATGAAACAGTTTCATGTATTTCTCTAAAATTAAAATAATGAAGATGATAATATCTATGATTAACACCCTCCACAATAAAAATGATTAATCAACCTCTCATAATTACAAAAAAATGAACAAAATGAAAAATTATGATTGGTTGAATGCGGTTTGCACGGTTTGTACAAATTGAGTGGTTTGCATTTGATCGCTCCCCTATATATATATATATATATATATATATAACATGTGTTGAGAATCGAGATTGATTTCAAAAGCGAAGCATCCAAAGCTTGGTTAATTTGTGTTGATAGTGGCCAAGTCAACTGATTTATAATACCGAGGATCCAAGTCGGCATCATATTCATTTGGACAGATTTTGGAAACCGAACAACAAAGGCTATAAATCAGTCGTCGTCTTTGATGAAAAAGAGTGTCATTTCCATTGGAATATGCTCAGAATCTCTCATCGCTTTGTTTGCAACCTTCCTGTATCGAATGCCACCCTCACTACATCTCTTAATCCTAATACTATACACTATATATATATATATATATATATATATATATGAAGCTATCATATAGAATTAAGGTTGTAGTTATATAGAAACTGGAATCAATTCATGAAGTACTTATCATGTTGCAGTCTAGATTTCTTCTTTCACGTAGCCGTTATCGCGATGATCGTGTTGTTTGCAGGTATGATGTCTGGACTCACCCTCGGACTCATGTCAATGAGTCTTGTGGAACTCGAAGTTCTTGCTAAATCGGGAAAGCCCATGGACCGTCTCCGTGCCTGTATGCTTTTACTCTTTTCTTTTCTTTTCGTAAGATATAAATATATATAACGCTGTATAAACACTGCATTTTCACACCATGAAAACTAGTTTGTAAAATTTATTGAACTTGTAAATGATTATAAGTATATATATGAATTCATTCAAAGGCCATCAATTTTCAATCTTAATTATTTCACTGCAGCAAAGATCTTATCAGTTGTCAAGAGGCATCATTTAGTTCTTTGCACTCTCTTGATCAGCAATGCTACTGCCATGGAGGTATTTATGCACCAGAAATAGTCATAGATCCTGTTAGAATCCGACCATTTTTCTACTCGATATATGTTGGAACTTTCCTTCTTTCTTAAGGGCTTTTCTGAAATGTAATATAATAGGTCCTACATATTCTCATATGGTATCAGAGTCACTGTCTACCACTCTAGGGACTCAACATTCTAGACAATCTGTCTAGCCCTTTCTTGACATTGTGGGACAATCTGTGTCTGTCTAGTCTTTGTTGGAATCTTACCTACTTCTATTTTAAAACAGTCTGCCCTTGGTTTCAAACAGTCTCCTCCCGTCAAAACTTAGAAAGACACTAGAGGATCATTTTGCAAAACTAGATTCTCGAGAAGGTCATTGACCTAAATAGCATGTTAGAGTCCCACCTCTCGGTAAAAGCTGAAACATCACTTCTATTTTCAACGGCTCTTTTGAAAAGTAATCTGACGTATTCCATATATTCTCACAAATTGCATGCCTTAAGACGTACCTAACATGCGTTATCCAATGTTCCAGGCACTTCCGCTATTCTTGAACAAGTTGGTCCCGGAATCAATCGCGATTCTTGTTTCAGTGACATTGATACTTCTCTTCGGTGAGGTCAGGATTCTCGTGTACTAGCTAGGCATCCTAACGTAACATGTTGATGCAAAAAAGTCAACTGAAGGGTTTTTTCATTCATGTTTACCTCTGAGCAGATAATACCGCAGTCTATCTGCACACGCTACGGTCTGGTGATCGGTGCAGCCGTGACTCCACTCATTCGTGTTCTTGTTTGGTTTTGGTTTCCTGTAGCATATCCGATAAGCAAAGTGAGTTAGTTTTTCTTTCAAAAGGAGAACAGAAAATTCCTTCAACTGAGATTGATTCTTGAATTACTTACTGCCAGGTGCTAGATTGCATATTGGGGAAAGGGCACGTGAGTCTTTTCCGGCGAGCCGAATTGAAGACATTAGTTGATTTTCATGGCAATAAGGTACGGTATTTTCTCTTTCGACCCATCTCAGAAATCTTTCTAAGAAGAGGATTTGTATACCTGATGTTCGTGGTGTTATGAAGGCCGGGAAAGGTGGAAGTTTGTCACATCACGAGACGACAATTATCGGAGGAGCACTTGAACTTACTGCAAAAACAGCAAAGGATGCCATGACTCCTCTATCTGAAACTTTTTCAGTTGATATCAACTCCAAACTTAATAGGTACCTGACATATTCATATATACATATATACTTGGGATCATGTGTTGTTTTTGCGAAACCATGAGACCACATTTTTACATTTGAAACTTCACAGCAAAACACTATGAATGTAACCTTCACAATGTTTTGATGTGAAGTTTCAAGTGTAAAAATGTAGTCTCACAGGTCTCACAAAAACAGGTTGGAACCCTCTCTCTCTCTCTCTCTCTCTCTCTCTCTCTCTCTMTATATATATATATATATATATATATATATTTCCATGAAACGACAAGATCTAGTTTCCGTTTTCAATGCAATATGATACCGAAAACAAGTTTCTACATCTCAGGAATTTGATGAATCTAATTATCGAAAAGGGTTATAGCAGAGTGCCAGTATACTATGATCAACCAGCAAACATAATTGGAGCTCTTCTGGTAATTATTATACTCATTATAACAAAATTGGTTTTACAGGATGCCAAATATGTCTGATAAATGTCCTAATAGATAGGATCAAAAAACTGTAAGTCCTATGTAAATGTAAAGGTGTTGCAATAAGTTGATAAGACGTTTTGTGTCATTATATGAATAAATGTCTTGTAAAAACAAGTGTCCTATAAAAAAGATGCGCGACAAGACAATTCTCATAGGTGTTATATTTATTTTAAAAGTGTCCTAAAAAACGTCTTGTTAACTTATTGTAACACCTTAATAGAAAACATAAGTTTGGTCTTATAAACTGAAGTCCTGTAAAGCTGTCTATTAGCAACATTTAGACATTTTCAGCATCATATAGTTGTCGTGTCTGTCCACCTATGTGCTACCAACATACCCTTATTCGAGTTACGTCGTGAGGCTAACTATAATCATTCTTGCTCATCGTGAACTGTAGGTGAAGAATCTAATGACCATCAACCCAGCAGATTGTGTGCCAATAAAGAACATCACTCTTCGCCTGATTCCAAGGTACGTTTCAACAGAAATTTGCATAATTTTCATTCAAAGTAAAGCACTATATCTACGTTTCTGTTCAAATATTATGTGTTCAGTGCTCTTGAAACCTATCTGATAACGGTCTTTTGTTGGTATCAGAGTTTCAGACACGATGCCATTATATGACATACTAAACGAGTTCCAAAAAGGTCTCAGTCACATAGCTGCAGTCATACAACTGCCAAATCAAACGACAAAGCAGTCAACCACCAAGCGCTCAAGTGAAGGTAAGCTTATCAGCTAACAATTAGCTTATCGGCCAGTTTGCCAAACATACTAGTCTAAGATGAAATAACGTGTGCAGTTAGAGTAGATATTCTGAACGAAAGCTATCAAAGCAGCTATGGAGGTTTAAGAAGCAGAAGAACATTTAACAAGTTCAAATCCATTTCCGGAAGTGGGAATGTGTCACGTGCCGAATCCTCTAAAAGCAGAAGGTGGTCGGATAAATTCTTGCCGGAGGTTCTTAATGTAATCGAGAATCCAGTTTCTTCTTTCAGACAACAAGGGGAAGTCATAGGCATCATAACAATGGAAGATGTTATGGAGGAGCTTTTAAACGTATGTCTTTTCATCGATTTCTATTTCTAACCAAAATTTTCAAACTTCTAGTCAACCGCTTAACCATTTTCCTATTGATAAAACATGTAGGATGAGATCTTCGATGAAACAGATCATCATAACGAATAACAAGCTGGAGACAGGCTATATGCTTACAAAGAATTGACAGTGAGGAGTATAAAGACTATCTTTATGTCAATGCTACACTAACATACAGGAAAACTTGATAACCTTGCAACTGTATACTTGTAGTTGAACATGAATCTTTTGATGAAATTTATTAGTTTTTTTGCTATATAATTAGCATAATGATTAATGGGTGTGTACCTCCGTTTTGATCTCCTCGAAAAGTGAAGCAGCTCTAAAGTAGTTAAGCACCCAAACAGAGTGTTCATCAGTTTCACATCCTTATTTAGGCATTTGGTCGAACACCTCCGCTGCGTTGTTCTCCATTTTAGCTAAATTAAACCTCGTGACAGCAATGCAACAATCACCTTGGTTTTAGAAATGGGTTTTCTCTCCTCGTTCCCCCGATAATTATTTCCAAAGAATGTGTGATTATTGATGGTATATTTCATGACTTTGATTGTCACTATAACCAGGACAGAAGGTTCGGTTTTTATGATTAATAAGAGTTTTGTTTAAGTGGGCCATAAACCCTTTTTAAACAGTAAAAACTCATTCTTTTAGAGCAATTTGGTTCGGTGAAAGCAAATGAATAGTGAACTCATCAAGGTCAACTGCTTGCTTGCTAAACTCACCAAATCACAACAATACACAAAAACCCTCCAATTGTTCCACCAAATTCAGTCTTCCCAATATCTGAAACCTGATCAGTATACCCTCTCTACCACCCTCACCGCCACTGCCAATCTCCGTGATGTTGCTGCCGGGAACCAGGTCCACGCCCATGTTATCCGGACAGGTTTTAAAATATACCCACATGTAGCCAACACTCTGCTCTTCCTCTATGCAAAATCAATGGATTTGGTTTCGGTGAAACGGGTTTTTGATGAGATAAAAATCCCAGATGTATATTCATGGACGACGCTATTGTCTGCATGCACAAACCTTGGGGAGGTTGAATATGCATGCCACCTGCTCGATCAAATTCCCCAAAGAAACGAAGCTGTGTGGAATGCAGTTATCACGGGCTGCGCAGATAATGAGCACTCAAATATTGCATTGGATATGTTTCAAAGAATGCATTTGTTGGGTATCAGGCACGACAATTACAGTTTTGCTAGTGTTTTGAGCTTGTGTTCTTCAGAATTAATCAACTTTGGTAGGGAAGTGCACTCACTGGTTATCAAGACTGGGTTCTTGGTTAGATCTTCAGTCAAGAATGCTTTGATTACTATGTATTTTAACTTTGGAAGTGCTAATCAAGCATACGATGTTTTCGAAGAAACAGAAGAGCTGGGTCATGATCAGATTACTTATAATGCAATGATAGCTGGTCTGGTGAGCTTGGGAAGAGATGAAGATGCCTTCATGATGTTCAAAAACATGCAAAAAGTCGGTCACTGGCCAACTGAACGGACTTTTGTGAGCGTTATGAGTTCATGTTCTTGTGGAATAACCGCCATACAACTTCACGCCAATGCCATTAAGACGGGTTTTGAAGATTTCAATGCTGTAAGTAATACAACAATCACCATGTATTCTGCTTGTGGGGATTTGCAGGCAGCGCGCATGGTTTTCGAGAAATTGGAAGCGAAGGATCGTGTCTCGTGGAACACCATGATCACAAGCTATGCTCAAGAAAATCTTTCTAGAGATGACGCCATTGTGATCTACTTGCAGATGCAGCACCAAGGAATCGGACCAGATGAATTCACCATTGGAAGCCTGCTAGCAACCTTGGATTCAATGGTATGTGTCGAGATGATTCTTGCCATCGTGATTAAATACGATCTTATTTCGAAAACTGAAGTGTCCAACGCCTTGATTTCCACCCTTTCTAGACTCGGTGCATTAGAGGATGCATATACCATCTTCACCGAAATGAATTCCAAGAATTTGATATCATGGAATTCAATGATTTCCGGCTTTCACTCAAACGGGTGTTCAGTAATCGGCTTAGAACTATTCTCCGAGATGCTTATATCAGATTTAACTCCAGATGTTTACACATTGAACATTGTTTTAAGCATATGTGCCACCATTTTAGCCTTCAGAAACGGCAAAGAAATCCATGGATACGTACTCAAATTCCATTATTTACACGAACCCTCATTAGGGAATGCACTTATTGCTTTATACGCAAAATGTGGGATTCTAGATTGGTCCATAAAGGTGTTCAAGTCGATGATCTACAAAGATGTCGTTTCTTGGAATTCGATGATTTCTGCTTACGGAAACCATGGAAGAGGGGAGGATGCAGTTTTGTGTTTTGAGGAGATGCAAAAATCTGAAGGGGTCAAAGTGGAACCAGACCATACCACCTTTACTACAGCTCTGACGGCCTGCAGTCACGCAGGCCTGGTTGACCATGGAGTTGAAATATTCAACTCCATGGTCAACAAGTATGGTCTAGAACCAGAGATTGACCATTTTTCTTGCATTGTTGACCTTCTGGGACGAGCAGGTTTTCTTGATGCAGCGGAAAACCTAATGAAGAGCGGTCGTTTTAACGTGCATTCTAGTATCTGGTGGAATTTGTTCAGTTCATGTGCGGCTCATGGTGATTTTAGATTAGGAAGGATCGTTGCTGGATTTCTGCTCGAATTGGAAGAAGATAAGTCGGGAGTTTATGTGGTTTTGTCGAATATTCTTGCGAATGCAGGATACTGGGAAGAGGCGGCGGATATGAGGGAGATGATGAAGAGCTATGGAGTTGTGAAGCAACCTGGATATAGTTGGATCAGATCTTAGAACCATATTGTAACTGTTGTTTGGTTCGCAAAATGTTTTTGGAATGAATTGAAATGATATCGAGTCAGGTTCGACCACACATATGATTGGCAGGAAATGGAATAGAATTTGTCAAAGGAATTAGAATTATAATGAAATATACGAGGAACCAATAATGTTTTTTCAATTATCAATGTCGTTTGGGGCATATAACATAATCGTCGTAAATCTTGTCATTCAATGAGATCGAATAATCTAAAAATACGGAAACATACCACAAAGGTACAGTACTACAGTTTAAGAACTCATATCTTGCAGTAAAACTAAATTCAATGATACTACAAAATTGTGGTGGATTTAAATCCAGGCTTTACAATTTCCTTCCAGAAGTTATACGTCTTGCTTCTTTTTCTGTTTGGGGCCGAACTCCTTGCCGCCTTTGGCTTTCCTCTTCATCCCTTTAGCCTGATCACATCAAAAATGCAAATTTAAGCAAATGGTTAACCAAATAAGACAAAAAATGAACAAAATTCCAAGATATCATACTTCTGCAGAAAAGGTCTTGAGAGGATCTCCAGCTTTTTTGAACCTGCCCTTAGATCCCCGGTTGCCATTGTTGTTATTTCTTCCCATGGCAGCTCTGGTGAGTTTGACAAACTTGCTAGCTTGCTGAGTCGTTGGATCTAGCAAGTATTCAGGCACATTACGTAGATGGGGTGCAGGCGCTTTCTTGCTTAGAAGCTTATCGTGCTTCAGAAGTTCTGCATACATAGTTTCTTTAGAGATTGAACCAACCATGGAACGAAATCTAATGCATGAATGAAACTAATAAACGGTGTTTTCTGTTTTTCTAAAGAAGTATGGTTCTAGAGATGTTTTCGGCTTACCTAAATCGCGTGGATTTTCTTGAAAATGAGCTTTCAGCCTGAAGAAACAAAAAGTCGGCATCATATAAAGGTGCAGGTATAATACAAGTTAAAAACAAGATTTCCTACTACATGTTGATACGCAGGTGAAAGAATTCTGAAAGGTTTTAAGGTTTTAATTTGACAAGGGTAGTTTACTAATTTACCAATCTTGTCTCATCTTCCTGGTTTTTGTTCCATCTATTTTGGTAGGACATAAAAGATACACTTTTTGTCCTTTCTCAGTCTAATGTCGTACCAGACATGGACAACAATTTCTGATACAAATCTTACTCTCTCAAAAATTGCAACATTTACTCTTTATCATCATTTCCAAATTAAAACCACCTATGTGACAATTATCATCGTTATAAATAATCAGATGATCTTGATTTGTGTCTTATTAAAGGGTATCTTAAATATTTGACAAATAGTCCCATTTTACTCAAACGTCGCGATTTTTCACAGGGCTGCATGAGCAGAAAATGCATGATAAACAGACCGTTTCAAATTTAATGACCTCTTTCGCCTCTGTAATTTACAAGGGAAAACGTACATTTATTTTTAGAGGGAGACAAGATTACATCATGGATGGGACAAATTTACGGAAAAGAAAAATAAAAACACTTACTTCTCAGAATTGAGAATTTCATTGCGTAAATCCTGGGCTCGTGCTTCTTTGACAGCAATTTTCGTCACACTCCTTGCAACATCCTGTAAAGATCAGTCCTTGTTACAAATTTGTGACGATATTACAAGTTCTATGAAATGAAAATCCAATAAGCAAGACGAATTACCTCAGCCCTATATCGTAAAAACTCCACTGCGTTCTTCTCAAGAAGTGGAAATGGAGCAATATGTGTTACGTCATTATCTTCATTTTCTCCCAAAAACAATTTAATTTCTTCGAATATCTCCATCTCATCGGGAGAAACCTGTTCGAAAATCAGACATTAGAGTCTACAAATTGAATAAAAAGTTATGCATCACATTTATGCATAACATTATACGAAATTGTAGTTGATCAAGAATCAAGAAATCAAGGCGAAGAACAAGATTTGGATTCAATCAATAGAAGTTGACCAACAAAGAGACAAAGGGTCTTCAAATTGACATACAATTGAGACAGATTGACCGGTATTAAATGCTCTTCCGGTACGCCCAATTCGATGTACATATCCAGCCGCACTTGCAGGCATGTCAAAATTTACGACCTGTTGCAAGATAAGAGTGTGTTTCATTAAGTGGAACAACTGATACTAGCCTTATCAAATAATCAAGCCTTAAATGAGAACCTGAAGAACCAACTATTTCATGTGTTATTCATAATGAATAATAATGAATATTATTCATAATAAACCTCATGCACCTCCATTATTCATTATATCATGCATTTTCATCATAAAGCATTGATAGTTGGTTCCCAGGTTCTCAAAATAATTACGGTTCTCATGTCAACCTGCCCCTAGTTACATAATTGATGCTTGTAAGAAAATTTATCAAGCTAAATTAGTTGCAAAAGAATTTGTGGGAAAACGTCTGCTAAACAATTTTTACCGTTTGAACGTTTTTAAAGTCTATGCCTCTAACAACACCAAACTCGGAATCCAACTTCCGCTTCTTATGTTTCTTGGACTTTTTCTTCTCAGCCTGGTTATTGCCATCAGTTTGTTCCTTCTCTTTTGAGTCACTATCATCGGTTGCAATCAGATAATCAAAAAGCCCAGCATTTAATCCCTGAGACATGAAACAACATTAATACATACATACATATATATATACATATATATATATATATATATGTATCTTGTTTTCTTTATGCATTTAAACTAACTAAACCACCATATGGTATTTATTCAAGTAATAAGGTTTTAGACACTATGATATGAGTCAAAGCGGATACCTCAAGAATATGTAGACGTGAATTTACAGGCAACTCAGCATTTAACACCGCAGATTTTATACCAAACTGTAGAAAAAAGTTTAGATTTAACATGAGAGCTATTGAAGCAATGATTTTAGAGATGAAACAGAAATGAGTTAAAATTACCTGCTCGAGAAACAGTTTCAGTCTAAAACTCGTGTCGATTGTATTTGTAAATATCAAGACTTTCTTTTGAACGAGATCCAACTTCAAAAGTGCGAGGATGTGGAGAAGCTTATCTCGATCACTGCATTGTATCTATGTATAACAGTGGAAAATAAGCAAAAACATATAAAATAAACTATCAAATGAAAATGAAAATGAAAAACGAAAAAGTAAGAACAGATAAACAAGAGAGATTAGACGGCTAAGGACATAAATCAAGAGCATACTGTAAAGTAATGCTTAGATATCCAGATGCCAATTACTTTCCTTATAAGCATGGTTAAATAATAATAATAATAATAATAATAATATTGTGTTACAAATTCTAACATTTAAACATACCCAAAATTGCTGAATATTTTTGGGGACAATTTCATCCTTCGCATCACCAACTTCTGGTAAAGTAAGAATGTAGGGATTGTGTAGATAAAGTTTCTTCAAACTCTCAACGTCATCACTGCAAAATATCCATAATCGAGTATGAACCAATGTGTTTAGATCCATAGTAGCTCCAAACCCAAGTCACAATATTTCATTATAGTTGAATGAATAAAAAATCAACACACTAATAATAAACATGGAACATGTATGAGTTCTACTTTATATATATATATATATATATATATATATATATATATATATATATATGCGAAAGTGTAGATGGTCACAAACCTTGAGGTAGCAGACATGAGAAGACACTGGCATTTTATAGGAATGTGAGTCTTAAGATCTTTAAGATTCTTCTCGTATCCGTAAGTGAAAAGAAGATCTGCCTGATTAGCACCATGAATCAGCAGTTGCCCAAATAATGTTCCAACAAAGATGAAACAACTAAAAAACTAGTATATGATCCAAGATTATCCCATTTACTAAATTATTTTAAACCTTCGAAAAGATTCCAACTTCTTTTCAAATGAACTAAACCATAATCTTACAAATCCAATTACATTCTTAAATGATCGTGTGTTTAACAAAGGACTAAGTGGAGCTATAGATAGTTGAGCATCCTTCTAGAGCTTAATCGCTAGTTGCAAACAATTGATTAATTCCCATTTAATCTTTTGGAATCCAGATTCAACAATTAGTTGCTAATCGAAGAACTGGGGAACATATTACGTCAATATTGTCTCATTAGAAAGCCCTAACTAATCAAAGCAGGAAATGCTAATCTTCATGAGAAGTCATCTTTTTCGACCCATCAATGCTTCTAAGGCACATACTCGTGTGGTTTAGTGGACAAGGGATAACACAATAAAACCATATGAAACTAAATCACCAAATTTTACCCAAAAATTAAAGTTCATACCTCATCAAGAACAAGAATCGAAAGTGAATCCTGAATTGATTGTGCTTTAAGAACACCAGATGACAAGCACCTTTGAACACAGGCTGGGGTAGACACAAGAATATGAGGAGGCCCTGCCAATGCTGCCGCCTGTGAACCCAAAAAAAAACCAAATATTACCATTTCAAATTTGAAGAACACATTTAAATATATATAGAGAGAGAGGATCAGGGGAAAACCTCAATAAATGAAAAAGAACACCCTGATAACTAGTCATCCAAATGGTATGTATATGTGCATACAAGTAAATGAAGTTGTTTCTTGGTTTATATGTGCATACAAGTAAATGAAGTTGTTTCTTGGTTTNTATATGTGCATACAAGTAAATGAAGTTGTTTCTTGGTTTATATGTGCATACAAGTAAATGAAGTTGTTTCTTGGTTTTTATGCACGAATGCATATTATGCATACGTGCATACCGGACAAATTGCTTGCAACTTACTTGTATACACATGCGTCTAGACGAAATGTTACCAGAGTGTTCCTTGGTTTTTCAATTTTTTTGCGGTTTCCCTAAACCTAACCCTATACATATGTAAATATATACAATCTTTACATGAAAAGAAAACCAAACCAACCATATCAGAGAAACTTGGTTCACCCGTCAACTGAACTACTTTCAGCTGCACTCTGCATAGCTCAATTAGTGACAACACTTCTGAATAAACCTGTTTAAAAGAAGATCCAAATTGTCAAAATACAGCTTTCTAAACGCATAATTCATATTTAGCACCAACCCATTATCTCGTTGTGGGTGCTTGTTTTTTTGGCAAAGAACATAATCGATTAAAAAGTAACCATTTAACATCCAAATCAAAATCGAAATCGAAACTATAGCATCAAGTGTTCATACTTGTTGGCAGAGCTCTCGAGAGGGTACAAGAATCATGGCAGTGGGAGCTAGGGCTTTTGAAGATGAACCATTATTATTATTATTGTTGTTATCCGATAAGAGTTTCTGAATCAAAGGAAGCAAGTAAGCGAACGTTTTACCAGAACCCGTTTTCGCTCGAGCAACCACATCCTTCCCCTCCTGATAATTTTCACAAGAACATTAATTACTCAATTGAAAGAAACTATATTGTTTAAAGGGATGAAACGTAAGAAAACGAACTTACGAGGATCAATGGAATCCCAATCTGCTGAATTGGAGTGGGGTTTTCGATATTTTTCTTTGTAAGGGCACGAATAAGACGAGGGTCTAATCCAAGCTCTTCAAATGTAAGATCTTTCACTTGTTCTCCTTCTTGATTTTCTTCCTTATGATGGTTCTCGTCGATATTCGACATTTTTGTTTGCTTGAAAGAAGACGACGGTGGCGGAAGAGTGGGGGGCGGCGGCGTTGGAGAAGTATGAGTGATTTTAGTTTTCAAGAGAAGCAGCGATACGAGAGGAGGAGCTAATTTTGGTTTCCCTCGCCCTACAACAGGAATCGTTAATTCCTTTTGTTTTATTACCGCTTGAGCCCCTGTATTATTATTTGAGTAAATTATAGTCCCTATGATTATATGAAAATTACGGATTAGGTCCTTTAAAAAGATCATGCATTGGGTGGTATTTATGGTTTCATTTTCGTTATGGATCGGGTCCTTTGAAAGTTACGGATTTGTTATGTTAAGCATCTCATGTCATGACATCTTTTCTATTTGCTTACTTGAACATAATTTCTTTCTAAAAAAAGGACCTGCTTTCCCCTCACATGAGGGGTACTTTTGTAATTTTATTTTTTTGTTCAAATTTTTTGTTATTGTACACATATCGTTGTTCGTGGTACAACCTATTAAAACGTTAAAGAAAAACACCTAAAGCTAAAACCCGACCCCCCCCTTCTTTACAGCTCCCCGTTGCATCCCATACACCATCTCCAGCCTCCTCCCCTTAACCGTCTGAGTCCGGCTTAGCTTCAGGTACGAGTCAAGAACAGAAGCAGTGGTTTTAGCGTGTATTTCTTGTGATAACAAGCTAGGTGCTTAAGCAAGATAATTCCATCCGCTTTCAGTTAAGGCCAGAAAGAATTATCTTACCTTTCTCTATATAGATATTGCTTATGCAGTTCATGTAGTTACGCCTTTAGGGGCCGCCACGTATAGCTTTAGTTCTGCCATAGTTGACCCAGTATCAACCCTCTCTTCCAGATCCTCCCTTCTTTGGGGCCAATCACTCTCCTCGGGAGTTATCTCCTTGAAGCTCTCTCCCCAGAGCAAAGCATAGTGTGGAATCTGGGAATAGGTTTATACGAGTCCTCCACCAGGTTTTCGAGCTCAGGGGTAGAAATAAATACGGACTTAAAATAGTGGAGACTGAACCCTCTACGGAGATGATAGAAGATATGAACCGCTCAATCGATACGATAGAAGAGGAGCTCCGAAKGTTCCTCTCTTCACTCTTCTCGGATGATAAGTCGAGCTAACCTATTCATAAGGTGAGCTAACCTATCCCATAAGCCCCTAGAGTTAACTTGTCTTTGACTTTTAGTTCATTACTTTATTCAGGTCCGTTGAGCGCCTCATGGCTATGTCATAATAGATCTGAACACTTTCCCCGGATCAACTTCCAGATCATAATTGCTCTAGTGAATAACTAAAGAAAATAGATAGATGGGAGATAGAAAACTAGAAGAGAAAGAAACTAATTATATAATATAAATATCTCTCCGAGATTCACTAATTATTTGACTGTTGGCGGGTCTCTTTGTATGTGTTGTCCGGAAAGAGGAGGACTCAAT